TGTAATAATATAGAATAAAAATATACTGTTAGTCCGATATTTGAAAATATACATGCGTTCGTTGTCACTGTTAAACTGTTGTAATAACAATGGAATAATAAAATAATGTACTCAAATGTACATAATAAGACATATACATATTCATAAAAACAATATTAAACGCAATAAATTTTTTGTACGCGAAGAAAAACTAATATAGGTCCGTCGGGATTCCAACCGAAGACTCCTTTCTAATACGTCTACTTTACATTGAACGGACGGAAGAGAATCCGTTCACGACCATGGTCCCTTCTTAGATTTAACGTAGTTCACAAATTCACCGTTCTCATAACGTAGAGGGCAGCAAAAAATCCCTGACTTTTTACACTATCGGTATTTCAGAACATGAGACACGAAATCCCATAAGATGATAGGTCTATCCTATACCTAGTCGGTGTTACAATCATATACTTCAATTTGAATTTCACGCTTGTGAAGCTTACGCTGAACGCCGCTACAAGATGAGGGCGAGATTCACAACAACATTAAAGTTCCCTCCCTAGTCGTCACGTACGTAATATAACATGGCGGATAAACCATTTGAACATGCTTGGTAATCATGTTTTGCACAGATTATTTTAGACGGTTTGTTTGATCAATAGAAGATATATACGAAATTTATCATGTTACTGACTAGGAACATAACGAATGGTTTTTTTAGAATTATATCTAGTGACTCTGTATTAAATATTATAAACAGATATTCAAGACAAGATATCTACGTGCAAAGTAAACGAAATTTTGTAGGTTATTTCGTATTACGTCGTGGGAAATGTTCAAGTAAAAACACTGATTTGAAAGCGATAGATCATAAATTAATAGTAAACTTTAGCTCAGACGGCAGCAAAGGATATTCAACCGACACGTACGTACATATACGTTCGTATTGGAGGTTTCTATTTCATATGCATTGACGTTATTGAAATTTATAGTCTTACCTGTATTTTGAAAATATGTATGTAAAACCATATTTTTATTGCACAAAATACTCGGGTAGATATATTTAAATAGTCGGTTATTTATGTATTAAAAATTATACGAATTAAAATATGCATATTTAGATAGACATATACGGTTATGTCAAATACACGTGAATTAAAAACCTTTAGTATTTGTATACTCTGCATTGAAACGCATAATTATCCATGTATAAGGATACGGATTTTTAATTCAAAACTATGACCTCTAGGTTGTGTACTGTTTCGTGAAATGCTATAAACATAATATTAACATATTATTTTTACATTTCCTAATTAATTCAAATAATACCATACCTCTTTAGTTTCATAAATGTTAAAGGTTATTAAAATTTAAATAGTTACAATTGCTTCATGGCCATTTATTTGGCATCATGTTTTGATTAAATTTATGAAATTGATTTAAATTTGATACAGGCATTTTTTAAAATGTTTATAAGTAATAATAATCACAATTATATTTTATGTTAATGCATGAATTTGAAATAAGTTTGAGGTAGATTTTGTTACCATAGCAGAAATATTTCATGGCCTATATAATATGATGAGCATATTGTACACTAGTAACAAAGGAATAACTAAACACAAACACATTGTTTTAACAAATTATACTTTGAGTCAATATGTCATAAGCTCTATTCACATGTCCAAAAATCCCAACACATCTCGCGTATCAGAGGCATATAAATATATTCTTACATTTCACATTCACAAAAGCGATGTACATGTCTTACAGACAATTTGACTTCTTTACTCTCACTTCTTCCTTAGCTTTTCAGTAAGTCTGATACATTCTTTTGTAGCAATACATCAGTCATCTTGCTCTTCATTATATTATGTTCTTTAAAAAGTTAACTGTAGCTTGGTCATTTCATTCAATTTTATAATTGGTGTTAGGTGCATATAAAGTATACAATAAACTATGTTGCATAGACTGCTTTAAAGCACAACACTAATAAAAATTGGGTATTATATTTCTTGTAATGCTGTTAAAGTATTAATATATTCCGTGGTTTTTTCTTTTATTATATTCTATTAAATAAACTATAATGTGCAATGGAATTATACCTTACATGTAAATTAACACTTATAATTTAATTATCCATATAAAATTTTAGGCATAAATTACCCTCTATATCGAAAGTGTATGACTTCTGATTTCTGACTCTATTGACCCACATGAGTAAGGAGTAAGCAGCTGACTCATATATGACTCAATTCTCATCTTATCGCATAAAATATCATCCAATACGTAGTTCCACCTTCCAGAAAAATGTCACAAGTTGAAGTCCAATACTTCAAGTGCTACGATGCTAGTGTCACTTTGTGTTGTATATGATGTGCTGCGTGAATGAATTAGTTTTTTATTGCTCTCTTGAAAAGTTAGATGTTTTCGACTTGTAACACTTTTCTTGCAGAAATGCAATATTGGTGGTGTGAGTAAAAAATTAAAAAAAATTGAATTTATCACTTATTTGGTGTCGCATGGATTTATATTACAATAATATGGATGCATTTGTGCAAAGTATTTAATTGACTTATGCCACTTTCATAATCACAGACACATATGTGACAGCAAACTGTTAACGTGATAATTTTTCAGTTCAAAAAAGAAATAATTATTTCATTGATTGGGAACAGCAATTGGATGTAATGAACGATAATTAAACTATGACAACAAGTGAGAAAGTTGTGTAGCATACTCTGACTATAAGGAATTAAACAAAATTAAATAAACTTTCTGTAGTTTTGTAGTTGGAGTGTGAGTTTTTACTAGTAAATGTGATGACATATTATATGGTCAATGTGTAATCCATAGCTCACGTAGATATTCCTCTCATACATTTTATGACTTACTAGTACCCTGTGTTCTAGGAAATATAGATAAAGTACAATTTGTAATTCTGTGTTCTATTCATGGTACTATATGTAATCATAGTGTATACATATTGGAAACATATCATTAGGTACCAATATAATAATAAGGAATAATACTTTACCTGTTTATAAGTACAAATCATTCTTACTCGTGATTAAACAATTTTAATCAATTTATACTTCCAGTTCATATGAACACAATTAATTTTATGTTCCTCTGTTCATAAGACATTGTATCTTCCTTCTTGTTACAGAGAACTCACATCTATACAATTTGAAAAAGTTACAGATGAAACACTTGATTCATTAACAGAGTACTTTGATGAATTAATTGAACAGTCACCGCATTTAACAGATGCAGATGTGTCTTATGGAGTATGTCCCTCAATCTCATTTTTGCCATTCTACATTGAGTATATATTCTAACAAAATATAGTATATAACTCTGTTTAATATGTACTTATATTACAGGATGGAGTATTAACTGTTAAATTTGGTAAATCATATGGTACTTATGTTATAAATCGCCAAACTCCAAACAAGCAAATTTGGCTTTCTTCTCCAAAATCTGGTCCAAAACGTTACGATTTTGTGAATGGTAGATGGGTCTATAAACATGATGGAAAGACATTACATGAATTACTTAATGATGAAATACCAGCAATCATAATGAATCCAACATGCTTTCATAAGTGTTCTTTTAGTGGTAAAGAAAAAGAAGCTATGTTGGACAGTGTTTAATATCATCACTTTTGCTGTTTGAAATTGTCATTTAAATTAAATCTCTTAAGCTTGTAAACACATGTACATCTGTATTGTATGGAACATACAGGATATCAGTTATTGCATATAAAATATAGTAGATTATAATACATACATGTGAGTATTTATACAGTTGTGATATGTTGATATTTTTTTTATTCTTGCATGTTAAACCATGATTCATTGTAGAATATTTTTTTATCGTCTAGTCGCTAAAGATATGTCTGAGATTGTTAAGTAAAATGACATAAGTAGGTAAAACGTTCTACTATGAAGGTATTGCTATTTAAAAGTTACACTGTTCAATACTTAAAATATCCCGTAACCGTTAATAGGTGTTTCCGATAGATCTTTCTGAGCGGAATACGAATCTGCAAACCATTTTTCCTAGCACATCCAGTTAAAAACAATTCACTTCAAAAAATTGCAATTTTTCAAATTTGGAGGTGTGATATGCTTTTCCAGTAACAGTTATTCAGTTGCTTTTGACACGAAATAATTCTCTGGATTTTCCCGAATAAAATTCTGTAACTTGTTATTATATTATAGACGTCTAAATATGTTTAAATAATGATCAAAAGTGAAAATGACACCGGAAACGCATCAATTTTTGTTGATATTCTTCAATTAATGTCAAAAACGAAGGCTCTGGGAGAAAAACTAACCATGGCATGTGACAGAGCAGACCTTTTTGCTAAGGAAGGTATCAAGGAAAGGTACAAAATCTGTTTTGTTTTCAATAGAGAAGCGAAATAGTTCAGCCAAACACATCACGTAAACAGCGTTACGCTGAGCGGCAGGCAAGGTAACTGCTGCCATTGAGTACCACTGCCGGTGTTGAGTGATTTGCTGAACCATTTTGTCTTTTTTATTGATAACAAAACAGATTTTGTAACGTTGGTTGACACAGTCCTTAACAGAAAGGTCTGTTGTATGGCATGCGATAGTTATGTAGATTTTCTCCAAGAGCTCCAGTTTTTGAAACAAATTGAAGAATGCCAACAAGAAATGGTTCGTTTTCGGTGTCATTTTCACTTCGATCATTATTTTGTAGGAGATCTGATGGGACAGACGGTCTGTGGAGACGTTTCTCCCAGTCGCTTGGGTTTTTGGTAGCGGCCGCTAGATGACCAGTTTTCTCGCAAACGTAATTAGACACTTTGGCTACTTCAGGGGCTCCGCCGAGGAGCAACCCAGGCGTCTCGGGTAGGGGTCGTCTACCGTCAGCTCCACTGACGAGTCTTAGTAGACGATTCCCGAGACGAAACGCCATCTTTTTGACCCGCCTACAATTTAAACATATTTAAATGTCTAAGGGAGTCTCAAAAATGTCTCTTTTCCGGAAAATGAGGGGTTGCTGGGATGATTTGAAACCACATTTTTCCTTAGGGAAAATGTTATCTGCGGGCTTTGTTAACGAGATATTAACGAAAAACCCTGACCAATCAGAGCGCGAGTTCTCGTGCTAGCGGTGGTTACGTGCTACGCTTGTACTATACGAACCTCCGAACAAGCAAGTCAGTCGGCATGCATCCCAGGAAACCGCGTATAATAGCAAATAAGAAAAACAATAAATCGAACTTTTTCATGTTTCGTTTGTCATTTAAAGTTATGAATGAATGAAACCCGATGAAAAATGTAGGTACGGAAACTTGCAGAATTATTGCCGGGAAAAAGTTATATGTAGCTTGCAATAAATTAAAAAAATAACAATCAACAATAAATTGAATAGAACTCACTCTTTCAGAAATCACCTGCAGCTTGCAGATCTGTGTCAGTAGATCATTGTATCGATCCTGGTCATCGACGACTGAAACGGTTTATGGCAGGGTATCGCTCAGTCTGCAGGTGATCGCAGGTATACCTCACCAGCCGAAGTTAAGGGTTGTAACGTCAAGTGCGTCCGGGTTATTCAACCTAATACGTATTCACTTCACTGCACAACCACTAACACTGATCAGCCGACACGACGGTTCGTTCGTTGTACTTCTGCAAAGCACGTGTTTTCTTAGAACGCTGGTTTTTTTTACCTAAATCTTGTTGCCACAGTGGGAGTGAATTTACAATGTAACGATGAGAAACTACTTGGGGGTAGAGAAAGCCTTTTCGGAAAAATTCTGTCAGTCGGTTAGCAATCGGGCGACAGAGATGTTCAGTTCACGGGAGTATTACGCAATGTTCTGGTGGTACGCACAGAATAACGGATATGCGGCTGCTGCTGTGCAAGCGTTGGGCTACGTAAAACATGTGATAAATTGAAAACAATCGGAACGTTTCGACGCCACCAATTTTCCTAACGTAGGAACAGCAGGTTCGATAAAAAATACATTAAGTAATCGTGTCGGCTGATCAGTGTTAGTGGTTGTGTAGTAAAGTGAATACGTATTCGGTGGAATAACCCGGACGCACTTGACGTTGCAACCGTTAACTTCGGCTGGTGAGGTATATCTGCGATCACCTGCGGACTGGGCGATACCCCGCCATAAACCGTTTCGGTCGTCGATGACCAGGGTCGGTACAGTGACCTATTGACACAGGTTTGCAAGCTGCGGGTGAATTTCCGAAAGGGTGAGTATATTCAATTTATTGTTGATTATTATTTTTTTAATTTAACGCAAGCTACATATGACTGTTTCCCGGCAATAATTCTGCAAGTTTCCGTACCTACATTTTTCTTCGGGCTTCTAAAAGATTCTGTTTAAAAAAATTATTGTGTATTCGTCTTTTTACGTTACATATGATTTTCTTACATTTATGTTTCATTCATTCATCACTTTAAATGACAAACGGAAGATGATAAAAAGTTCGATTTGTTATGTTTTTCTTATTTGCTACTATACGCGGTTTCCTGGGATTTATGGCGACTTGCTTGTTCGGAACTTCATAGTACAGTGGACATTCGTTTATTGCAAGCGTTCGGGGCTGGAGAGGGCCAGAATTCCAGGAATACTGCAATAAGAAAACTCCAATCACCCGCGCGCTCTCCCCTCCATTCGGCCGTTCAGTTGCGACACACCTATATATAGGGTGGGCTGGATATACGCATTTTACGATCATCTTCATTATCTTCGTTATTTTTGGAGATAGCAGAACAGTTTATTGATAGAAGTTGTTTAGTATGGAAAGGGCTATTAATTTGCAGTAACAATTTTTTCGTTGGTCGAGGATATCCTGAGTTTTCAAGATTAATTATGTTTCCTTTTTAATGATACTGAAATATTGTGGAATAAAAATATTTTTTTACGTAAGTGAATTCTTCTAAACATTCTGCATAATAAAATATTAAGGTAATATATGAAAAAAATTAATAATTCCTGAGATATTTTATATACAAAATGTAAAATATGTCACAAATTGTCAATTTTTTCTCGACCTACAATAAAATTATTTCTGCTCTGTTATAGTCCCTCTGATACCAGATGAGTTTTGTAAATAAAATATGTTTATACCTGTAGAAATAATGAAGTTAATTAATGTGATCAAAGTTACTGGACCATTGTTTATAATGCATGTATAATTGAACAGTAGTTTCATTTATTCTTCTTTATTGAAAACCATGTAATCAATAATATGAATATTTGAATTTGTTTAATTGTGACATACAAAATGATTAACAACAACATTTGCTTATTAATTATCTTATTTATGTATAAAAGTGTAGAAAAATACAAGTTAGTGATTGCAACCAAATACAGAAAGGAGCAAAACTGAACCAGTGTGACTATTTTTCCAGGAAAATAAGTTATTCATTTAGATCTTATTAATATGGAGTAACAGAAAAGCTCAACCTGTATATGTATAATTGTACACCCATTTCAGTTTAATAGACAATTAATGTTTTAACTTTATTACATTGAGTTTATTAGGTATAATATTTTACTTCTGTATTTCATACAATTTTCATAATATTTTTAAGATATTCAATCCTATTGTTCTATGATTTTATTATTGAGAACCTTCTGTTAATATTATAAAATAGAGATCACTGGACAAAGAATTAAACATTTACTAATACTTTTATACATATATTCAGAAGTGTCTTGGAAGTAAAATATTATAAGTAACAAATTGAAGAGAATATACTGAAAAAATTAATTGTTTTTTAAGCGGAAATAGTTGTACAATTATATGCAGGTTGAGATTTTTAATTATTTCATGTATGTATTATTTATAGAAATAATCATGTATATAAAACAGTATTATTGGTTCAGTTTTACTTTGTACTGTTGTAATAAATTTTGCACTATCACGCCCTAGAAAAACACATTTTTTTAATAGGTAATAATCTCATTTATAAACTCCATATGTATGAATTTTTAGCTTTTTGCAGCTTTTTCACTTCTATGATCAACCACCTTAAGGGGGGAGACTCCTTTGGGGCCAACTCCGAATCGATCGAAGCGCTGATGTAAACAATCGGACGCCAGCGGAAACACAAAATCGATATTTGGGACGGCTTGATAATACAACATCTAGCGGCAGTACCCACAAATAAATTTTGTTCTCCGTTACCATCAAGTTGGGTTGTGTATTTCTTACGCGAAGACAGTGTTGCCGGACAGTATCGTTTTTCTTACGCTGTTGCCTCATGTCCCGCATGCAATTCTACCCGTGAGGAGAACGATGGAACAGCTACGGCCTACGGCTCGTGGCGAGATTTCGCCGAACGTAGGAAAAGAACGGCGCGGGGGGAAAGGAAAGAGATTCGAGAATGATGTTTCATATTATAATATTTACGTACTAATGTGTGCAACGATAAACCTTTTCTATTCATACTTGTAATGATGCTT